TTGGCAACAGTGAGGCTAGACCCTGGTAGTGAAGAGAAATTGTAGAGAGGATGAAGCTGGCTTGGGTATGGAGAAGCCAACTTTTCGCTTCGTTGGCAGCTGTCAGACTTGGCCAGATGGGGCTGATTTATGTGTGGTGTTCGTACGGTCTTCAGATCGTCTCATGATCAGCTTTGGTCTAAACTTATTACACCACAGCAACAGCCAAGCTAAAAGGTTTTTACAGCGTCGCTTGCTTTTCTGTCTCCATTTTCTCTGAATGCAAAGCCCACTTCTACCTTTCTCACTTATTCTGGCTTCTGTTCTCATGAAAAGCAAGCCTCTAACCTACACGTTCAAGAAGAACTTGGAATTCTTTCCTTTGGTTTTATCGTCATAGTCATCAGAGACCAACTGAGTTATTCTAAGAGATGTCATTTTAAAACACCTGTGTCTTTCATAATTAATGGAGGTCAGAGTTACGTTTCATGGTGTCTCTGGATAGAACAAGTCATTTAGTTAATATGCTCGTGATGGCTCAACCTTTCCTTTAATGCAGGCTGAATTTTATCACTTTACGTGAAGACACAAATGAGCATCGTCTATTATGGCCTGCGCTGCTCCCTGAGAGGAGACACTGTTGTGCTTAGTGATTTGTGGCTGATAGGCCCCTAGGGGACATGATGCTCTGTAGAATGAGTTTTTCACTCCTAGAGTCAATAAGGAAGAAAGTCCCTGGTGAAGAGAGGAAGACTATACTCAGAAGTCTGATGGGGAAAGATGAGTGGGCTTCAGAATTGTCACTTTGCATCTGCCAATTTTAATGGCTCTGTGATTTGAATTATTGAGTCTATTTTATGTATGTACTCCTCAAATATTATGACTCTTAAATATATGGCATTGGGATTTGAATTATTCAGGTCTGTTTTATCTATGTGCTCCTCACATTTCGGAGTCCCTGAGTGGTGCAGACAGTTACCCACACGGCTGCTATCTGAAAGGTTGGAGGTTCCCATTTACCCAGAGGTGCCTCAGAAGAAAGGCCTGGCAATCTGTCTACTTCTGAAAACTCAGCCATTGAAGACCCTATGGAGCACAGCTCTACTCTGATGGATATGGGGTCACCATGAGTTGGAATCAACTCAACGGCAGTGGGGTTTTTGTTTGATTTGTATCTGTGTCCTGCTCATGTATAATTACTCCTACTTGTAATATGGAGTCCTTGGGTGGTGCAGGTTGTTAATGTGCTCAACTGTGAACTGAAAGGTTGGAAGTTGAAATCTGCCCAGAGGCACCTTGGAAGAAAGGCCAGGGGATCTGTATCTGAAAATCAGCCATTGAAAACCCTGTGGAGCACAGTTCTGCTCTGCAGTGCACGGGGTCAGCATGAGTCAAAATTGACTTGATGGCAGTTGGCCTTTAGGTTGGGGTGGTGCAAAGGGTTAACATGTTAACCGAAAGGTTGGAAGTTCGAGTCCACCCAGAGGTGCCTTGGAAGAAAGAAAAAAGAAAAATCAGCCACTGAAAACCCTAAAGAGCACAGTTCTACTCTGACACACATGGGGCCACCATGAGTTGGAATCAGCTCCACTGAAACTGGTTTGGTTAAATGTAATATGGTTATTATATGTGAATGTGCAGTTTGCAATTTTATTCCAAGACATTTTTAAAAAATAGGTTCCTACCAAGGAAAGAAACACTTGTACTTTCATTTCCTGCAGCCATAAAACTGAACCCGTACAGCTTGGCGCCCTCTCCCTCCGCAATTCTGTCATGAGAGGAGAAAACTGAGACATCTGGAACAGTACCCCTAAGCTGTGCAGCTGAGGCACTCTAAGAATTTAATTTCTTAACCTCTCGCACTGCTGCCTTTCTCCCCCAAGATTGGCGATATTACTTATTGTTGCCTATTTACATCTGGGCGTTATGAAGATTAACGAGAGCACTTACATACTTTGCGTTGCTCCAAGCTTTGCCCTGTTATTGAATCTGACCTGATGTGAAATATTTGGTTAGCATTCCCAAGTGGCTGGGAGCCTGAGGCACTACTCCTTCATGTTGGAAATGCTGGTGTCCTTTCCCCTGAACCTCACACACATTGTTTTCCCTTCTCGGTGCTTCTCACAATTGCCAGATAAAGTGGTGGCCTCTTTCGTGAAGCCCCGGGGAACCGTGCACGCGGGAACCATATATCTTACTTTAGTGTGTGAGTGGCCCAGCAGCTGGGAATATCAATTTTTTATTCCTTTTAGAAGATTATCTTTCTTTCTGTAACCTTCCACTTCATAGGTCATCCACACAAACTGTGATGGATCAAGCTGTCTTGGGAGATTCCGGGTCCCTCTTGTTGCTGGCTGGAGTGGAATTTTTCCTACAACAGAAATGCACTTGGAGTTGCACTCGAAACCAAGTATTTTGAGGACTGGGAGGGGTTGGAATCCACTCTCTGTTTTGACAAATTCTTAGGTTCCTGAGAGTGATTAAGGGATTCCAGAAAGGTTTTTAAGTTTTGTCTTTTAAAATACTTTTTAAGTACTTGAAAAGTGTAAGATAAAATGAACACTAAAATATGTAATACAGGTAGTCTCTGAATCATGATGTCTTTGTGTTACAGTGAAGCTCATTTACCATGGTCCTTTTTTTTTTGTACATTTTGTTGTTAGTAATCTATACTACATATAATGCCACACATAATTTGCTGATGTTATCATTCTCATGCCAAACCCTAAAGACAAATAAGCACTGGATTTATAAAGATACCGATAATAAAAGGCAATAATAGTGAAAACAAAGCATAAAAAAGTGAGGTATTCGACTTACATCAGAACTGACATACGACCGAGTCCTTGGAATGGAACCTTGTCATAAGTCGGGGACTACCTCTCCAAAATTTTCATATAGAAACATTCAGGAAGGCATTAACCTGCCTAGTTGGGTTTTGTACAGGTGGCATCCATTTATTAGAAGGGTATTTGAAATTATCTGCCGACATTGTGCCACCAAAACCAGACAAACACACACAGCAACAGGAAAGGTAACCAACCAACCAACGCGCAAACAGAAATTACGTGGAGGTTGACGCTCCGTAAGATAGTCTTGATAGCTTCAATCACGGTTTTCAAGTCGGCCTCACCGGCTGACTCTGATAAACAGATATCTGTGAGTCCGAATCAACTCAACAGCAACGGGTTTGGTTTTCCTTTTTCATAAATAAGTACTTATTAAATAAATGTACACGAATAAGGAATTATTTTATATTTGGGGATTTCATTTAAGATTATTTTGGGATAAGGTACTTGACTGTAAAAAATGGGAACAATTGAGAAGCATCTGCCAGGAATTTATTGAAATTTGACGTGATACAGATTCTCTCATTAGACGGTCATCTATTCACGGAACTGCACTGGGCGTTGTTTTTGTATAAACGGGGGCACTGTCTTAGGAATTTGCATGCTGTAAACATCCCGCCAGATTGTATAGTTCAGCTGTCTCGTTTTGCACGTGAAGAGAGTGAGGCCCTCTTGAAATAAGTCGGGGCGTGCACTTTCAGGAGGAAGTCGTGTGAAACACATGAGTTATGGGGTGACGCCAGCCACAGCCAGATCCCAGGCCTGGAGTGAGAACCGATTGCCTAGAAGCACAAGCTTGCTGTTGGCAGTGCTAAGACTTGACCCTTTCTTAAAATGGTTTGTAAATAAATACACCTGGGAATGGACAGTGATGACGTGGGATACTTGTACTGCGAGCACTGTTGTCTGAGTGTGTGTGCGTGTGTGTGAGTGCATGCTTGTGTTTAGTGCAGGTAAAATTAGGAAAGGTGGTGCAATGGGTAAGCGCTCGGCTGCAAAAGGAAAGGTTGGAGGCTGGAACCCACCCAGTGGCTTTTCGGGAGAAAAGATCTGGCGATCTGCTTCCTTAAAGATGACAGCCTAGGAAACCCTGTGGGGTGGTTCTACTCTGTCGTCTGGGGTCGCCGTGAGATAGAATCCGGGTAACATGTCCAGAGTGTGTGAGGTGAGGTCTCACCATCCTCGCTTCTGAGGAGAGGGCCATATCAGCAAATGAAGGTCCTGAAAGCTTGACTCCATCCACATCATTAAGGTCAACTCTACCTTGAGGAGGCAGCTCTTCCCCAGTCGTCTTTTGAATGCCTTCCAACCTGGGGGGGCTCATCTTCCAGTGCTATATCAGACAATGTTCCGCTGCTATTCATAAGGTTTTCACTGGCTAATTCTTTTCAGAAGTAGACTGCTGGATCCTTCTTCCTAGTCGGTCTTAGTCTGGGAGCTCAGCTGAAACCTGTCTGCCATGGGTGACCCTGCTGGCATTTGAATACCAGTGGCACAGCTTCCAGCATCACAGCATCACACAAGCCCCCACAGTATGACATACTGATAGACACATGGGGGGACAGCAATGTTGTCCCAAGCTAACGTCGGTGCTTGTGATGTGTTTTACGGTGCTCTGTTGGTCTGGATTACATATCTCATGTTCCCCTTTGTTGTTGAAAATTGAGTTTCCTCTTCTCTGATTTCCAGTTTCACACCTGAGCAGCCAGCGCTGACTCTTCCAAACTTATCCATCCGACAAGATTGAAAGCTGTGCTCTTAGGCATCTGGTTAATTCAAAGCTTTGCCTTGTTTTAATTATAAATCATGGTAGATGTAGGTGATTTTAAACTCAAAAGGTCCAGGTCCTTTTGCCTATTCCACGTAGATCAAAAGAGCACACTAGGAACATAGATTCCCCATAGTCACGCCCATACACACACACACACACACACACACACACGCACACACTCCTGATGCCTTAGCTTCTTCGCCAGTCTCAAAGGCTTGCCTGGTGACACTTGAGCGCTCTTTGTTCTTGGAGCAACAAGGAGAACTGTGCTCCACACATGCTTAGGAGGAGGATACATTTGAAGCCAAGATCTTTATGTGTTTTGTTGTCGTTCTCTTGACGTTTATGGCCCGATATTTTTTGGAGCTATTAAAATAAAACCCTCTCTCTGTCTTTTGTAGGAACTACCTCTTCAGGTTGCAGCTTGAGGACCTGTCTCTGATCCAGGTAGGTGCGATTTGCTTTTCTCAAGCTTTCGTTTTCCCTCCCAGTTAACTCCTGTTTGAGGGGATGGAGACGTGATGTAAAGTCATTGATCTGGGCCAAGCTGGGCTGTCCTCAGCCCTCTGGGATGTGAGCGTCCCCTGCTTTAATTCCACATTAGCCTTCGTCTCCTGCATGACCCCTCTTCCTTCACGGGTGTCATCTCTTCGTCAGACGGTCGGCAATTCAAGGGCCATATCCCAGTGTCTGGAAGCACCCCTTTCCCCCCAGTTAAAGTGATCATTGGTTGGTTTTATGCATTTGGCAGTCATGTTCTGGTGAAATCAGTCCATTTTAAAAAGCATCTTTGTTTTCTCTTTATCATGTATAATTAAATAACTGTGCGTGTACAAGTGAAAACCTCCTGGTTGTGGCTGTTAGTTGCTGTCGCGTTGGCTCTGACTCATGACGACCTTATGTGTAACAGAAGGAAACGTTGCTCGGTCCTGCACCGTCTTCATGATCGTTGGCATGTGTGAGTCCATTGTTGGTGCTGTTGTGTAATCCATCTCATGGAGGGTTTCCTTCGTTCTCACTGACCCTCTGCTGTACCAACCATGATGTTGTTTGCTAGTGATTTGTCTTTCCTGATGACATGTCCAAAGTAAGTGAGTCAAAGGCTTGCCATCTGCACTTCTAAGGGCCATTCTGTTTGTATTTCTTCTAAGATTAATTTGTTCATTCTTTATAGCAAAGAGTAAATGATGACAGATGAAATAGATGCATGATGAAATGAGATTTACCTACTCCTCTTACTGTAGTTTGGGGGAAGGGCCTGCGATTCTCAGGATTGGGTGGAGGTTTGCTTTGGGGCAGATCTGAGATTCCAGAACCCACTTAGGCCTCCAGTATCCAAGACAGGTTTGATAGTCAGGGTCTCCTGTGAAAGGGAGGTTATGACCCACATCGTCCCTCAACAGGATTCTGGTAGTCTCCATAGACCATGTCAGGATCCTCAGGATGTGTGTCCGGAAAAAGTTCCTCACCCAATTTTTTTTTTTTTTTTTGTAATTGTGGTAAAAATATATGTTACACAACATTTGCCAAACCAACATGTTTTACACGTACAATTCAGTGACATTGATTACATTAATCAGCGCAACCATCATCCATATCCTTTGCCAAATTTTCCATCACCATTGAGAGGCTCATGTAGTTTTACTCATGCACTAAGTCTTTCAGAAGAGAGTGGAGATACATTTATATTATTGTATTTGCCTTGTGATACTGTTGTTTGTGAATGCTCAGGAAATGTTAGAGCTAGGGTTAGATATTGATCTCCCTTGGATTCGCCAGGGCTTGACAATAGTCCCCATAAGCAGAGCTAATATTAGTGCAAAGCAAGGGCTTTGAAGGCAGACAGAGCCCCATGTGGGATCCAGCCCACTATGATTCCCTGTAAATATCAGTTTCCTCATCTGTAAAACGGTCATGGAACACCACCAACTCCACACTATCACTGTGAAAATTAAATAACGGCACACAGAAGAGACAAAGCGTAGTGATTTTTCAACAAATACTCATCATTTCTTATTGTTTTTAACAGCAATACTAATAACAGTAGCAGTAAATTATGATCATGATGACTTCATCACACATGACAATGAATTGTCTTTTCACTGGAATTTAGTACATGACTGAAGTCTATCCATGAGCAGTTGTTGGTAAAATTATGAATGTATTAGTAAGGGATCAGAATGTTCAGCAGTTTAACCAAAATACCATTTTAAAGCTGATTTAAAGTAATCTTTTATCAAAAATATAGCTTTTAGAAAAGAAAGGGACCATGTATTTTGCTCTTTTTGAATCACAGGGTGTGGTATACTATTTGGCACAATGTATGTGCTCAAAAAAAATGGGATGTGAACACATGAGTGCATGCACAAGTACTTACATGTGTGCATGCACACATGTTTACCCATGCACATCCACTTATTTCCTAGCTCTGTCTGCTGAGAGGGTTTTAGAAGCCATGTCACTCCACTAGCAATGAGCACACTCAGCACACAGATACTGGTTTCTAAATCATTGGGAAAGTACCAGCTAAGCCTGGAAGATCTTGTGCGCCAGAAAGTAAGGAATTGTTCAGAGAATGATGGGGTCATGTCACTAGGAACTAGGAGGGGACTTACTGACAAAATCTGGCACAGTTTGATTGTCAAAGCAGATAATGATAATAGGAGATTATAGCCCATCGAATAAAATAGGATTTAATGAGAATATTAAAAAAAAACAAAAAACAAAAAAACCAAACCTGTTGCCTTCGAGTTGATTCTGAATCATAGTGACCCTATAGGATAGAGTAGAATTGCCCCATAGGGTTTTCTAGGCTGTAATCTTTACGTAAGCAGACTGCCACCTATTTCTCCCTCAGAGCAGCTGATTAAGTTCAAACCACCGACGTTTCAGTTGGCAGCCGAGTGCTTTAACCACTGCACCACCAGGGCTCCTCATGAGAATATTGTAACATAAAAAATAAATAAACAAATGGGGAAAAAGGAACACACATCCCTCTTACTATTAAATGCCAGATAATAATTATAGGGAATGATTTAATTAGATGATTATCATTTGGTAACCATTGCACTAATCGTCAATTCAAGTAAAAATTACCAATGGATGCCAAAATTTTTAGGCAAGAGTTTGATGACAACTAGGGTATTATCTAGTTTCAGAGTAGCTGCCTACAAAACACTTGCTAATTACAAGAAAAAAAAGACTAACCCGACAGTGAAGAAATCTGACAAACACAACGATAACCCGTTGGTTGGTGGCACCATCACCTGTAATGTCACAAGGGGTGATTGCAGCTTTCTTGGTTGGATGCTCTGAGAAGGACACAACATGACCTCTGTGACGTTCCAGCCAAAACATATGACAAATCCCATCATGAGCACCACCAGACAAATCAAAACCAAGAGACATTTTAGAAACAGCCAACCTCTAGTCTTCAGATACTGCAGAGCCATGAGAGGCACAAAAGAAGTGAAGGAGAAATAACAATAATAATAAAGGAGAAATAGGCTCACCAGTCATGTCCAATGCTTTGATCCCAAATTGCATCTTGAAACAGAAAAGAACAAAACAAAACAAAACCTTGCTGTAAAGGTCATTATTGGGACAACTGGCAAAATTTGAATAAGGTCTGTTGATAAGAGAATAGAAAAATATTAATGTTAATTTCCTGATTTTGATAACTGCCAAGCAAATGAGCCCAAATCTGTACCTATTTCAGAGCGCTTAGGAAATAATTGGTCTTCCTGTTTGTTCTAAAAGTCTATTGCTTCTGTGTTCGATGTCTGAATCGAAAATCTGTGGCTCAGGACTTCCCAAAGAAGTTGCTGTCAAGTTGACTCTGACTCCTGGTGACCACATGTGTGTCAGAGAAGAACTATGCTCTATAAGGTTTCAATGGCTGATTTTTGGAAGTAGATCACCAGGCCTTTCTTCCCAGGCACCTCTGGGTCTGCTCAAACGTCCATCCTTTCCATTAGCACCTAAGCCATTAACTGTTTGCACTCTCCAGGGGCTATGGTTATGTAAGAGACTGTTCTTATTTTTGGAAATACTCCCTGAAATGTTTAAGGGTAAAGCATATAATTTCTGCAACTTATTCTCAAATGATTAACAAAATCACAATGTATACAAATATGTACACAGGCTTCGCACATACCGTATGCAGAGAGAAAGATAAAGCAAATGTGATAACAAGTTAACAGGTAAATCTCACAAAGGTTATATGAGGATTAACTGTGCTATTCTTACAACTTTGCTTGACATTATTTCAAAGTACTGTATTTTTTTACACACAAATAATGTAAACCTTCTACTTTTGTTTGCCCGGGAGGTATTTTCATAATTGTGCTATGCTCATTTTTTTGCAGCAACATGTAAATGATAATTTCATAGCGGTGCTTTTGAAAATACCTAAAGGGGTGAAGGGACCGTTGGCGCACAAACTTAGAAGTTGCAGGTTATTTGCATAAACATACAGTACATTGAAGCCAAAAATCAGCGAGTGTGTTCGCCATCATCACGTGTAAACTAGAGATGAGGGGCAAGGAGACTCCTTGTACGTTTTTCATCATTGCCTCTCGTTGCTGTGGCTGCCTTGGTGAGATCAGTTTCGTTGACTGATGACGTGAAGTGCTCTTACTGAAGGCTCACCAGCGTCACCACCAGCCGAGAGCTGAGTTGGCTGATACAGGACCAAAGAGAGAGACCATGGCTTCTTGAGCGGTGGTGTTGAAACGCAATTGTACTACCAAGACGTGCAGCGGGCGACTCTCACCTTCGTTGCTAACTGCATGGTAAGGATCAGCATGAGCCCAGTCCCCAAAGCGTGGAAGTGGACCCAGTCCTCACCTTCCCATTTCTCCATCCTCATTACCAGCCACATGGAACTCTCTCTCTCTCTGATTCTAGCCACCCGGAGCGGGGTCAGAGCTCACAAGGCAGAAGGACATCTTCCTTCAGAGTGTCGAACAGACAGACACCAGCCCCTGCTGGCTCTCACTGTCCCTGTAGGTTTATTAGTTCACTGGGACAACTCAGAGGATACTTAGAGAGTACACCATACTTATAGCTACAGGTTTATTACAACCAAAAAGGATACAAACGAAGAGATACCTAGGGTGACGTGTGGGAAGGGTCTCAGCGCAGAGTTTTCATGTCACAAAGGGATGTACCACCCTCTCCTGTGTGTGGTCACCAAGCAGATTGCATCATGCCTCCTGAGGCTTAGTCAGCTTTGGCCCCCAGATAGTCTGGTCAAACCAAAAGCAAACCAAATCCATTGTCCTCAAGTCAATTCCAACTCATAGTGACCGTATAGGACAGAGTAGAACCTTCCTATAGAGTTTCTAAGGCTGTAATCTTTACAGGAGCAGATTACCAGGTCTTTCTCCTGCAGGGTAGCGGGTGGGTTCAAACTGTCGACCCTTCGGTTAGCAGCTGAGCACTTA